GTATTCTCTCCAACGGTCAAGTCAGTTCTTTGAGAGAGGGAAAGAAGAAAACGTTATTTGGTGTTCTTGAGAGGTGATTTTGCGTACCTTTACACCACATTTATGCGTGCTATTTATACCTTCCATGAAAATCATCATTGCTGTCAGACAGGTCCCGTCAAGAAGAGGCTTTCCATTGGTCCAGTTGGGAGGCAGCCTGTGGAACGTAGTCCTAGGGCAAAGTGTCTTTCTTGTCACGTCAAAAGAAATCTCTATATTTAATGTCCGGATCCCCAAGCATTTAATACACTCCTCCCAGAGTCCGCCGAGCAATAAATGTGTCACATTCTTCTGAGGGATCATTTAATGTCCATCATTGTGGCTGTGCATGCGATGAGGCAGTTGCATCCTTTGCCATCTAGGAGGTCACGTCGTTTGGACTTTGTACTTCGTGGACTCTCTCTATTGGTCACCAGGTTGTCTATCTTGTCATTCTAACTACCTTGGGAAGAGGATTTGATGATTAAGAGCCGCCCCCACCTCTGATGTGGTTGCATCATTCTTGACTTTTTTTAAAACTCCATCATTCGCCATAGCCGATGTCCCAAGGTGATCGCCAACACCTTAGTGGAGTGGAGGTCTAGACGCCAAGGACACGAGTTAGATGGAGTTCTCCTCGGTGAACTTTGGGAGCCGAGGACACGTGTCACGTGATGAAGACTCTGAGGTGTTTTTAGCACCGAGATGACATATAATGTGAAGAGTGCTCCGCGGACAAGAGATCGAGGACTCCGCAGACAAAATGTCGTGGACTCCGAGGTACCTTTAATGTCGAGATGACGTGTCATGTGGAGAGTTCTCTGCATACAAAATGTCGAGGACTCCGTGGACAACATGTCGTGGACTCTGAGGTACCTTTAGTGCCGAGATGACGTGTCATGTGAAGAGTGCTCCGCGGACAAGATGTTGAAGACTCCACGGATAACGTTTCATGGACTCCAAGGTACCTTTAGTGTCGAGATGACGTATCACGTGGAGAGTGCTCCGCTAACAAGATGCCGAGAACTCCACGGACAACATGTCATGAACTCCGTGGTACCTGTAGTGCCGAGGACACGTGTTACTCGGAGGAAGCTTTGAAATGCTGAGGACAAGTGTCGTTCAAAAAACACTCCGCGTCCAATATGTCTCAAACACATGTCTCGTCCCCTTTGATCATAGAAAATATCCCATCACAAGCATGGTAAATATCTACTCAGAATGATCCATGGTAACAAGGCTAATTTGTAATCCAAAATTGAATTGGATATTGTTAGGGACATAATAGTCAAAAGATACTCTATTACATCACCTTTGTCCGTGGGCTCCGTAAAAGTACAAATATGCTTACCAAATATTAGCA